TTAATATAAAAAATACAGAGCCAGACCTGTACACCTGTCATCCCAGTACTTTGGAGAATGAGGCTGTACAGGATTGCAAGCTCATGTGAGCTACATAGCAATCCACAAAGGAAAAAAAAAAAAGTTTCTTCTTCAATCAGTATATGAAACTATATCTCATTAGCCCATATTTTGTGTGTGTGTGTGCACGCGCATTTTTAAATTGCTGAATGGAGCTGAGCTAGTGTGTGTGTACATTTTTAAATTGCTGAATGAATCTGAGGAGCTACCTAAAGGCAAAGTATACAAACTGTTCTTCTTGGATTTATTCTTTTAGACTGAATCAAATATATTAATCATGGAAACTATTTTTAGTGTTTGGTACCTTTTGAGAAACTAGCACATCACAACTATAATGAACCATTGGAAAATATTCACATTTTAAGTCTTATACTTTAAGTCATCCTCTTATTTAAAAAAAAAGCCAGAAGATATTTAAGATACTTAGAAAGGTATTAAGAATAACATAATGAGGGTCTGGAGAGATGGCTCAGTGGTTAAGAGCACTGGTTACTCTTTCAGAGGACCTGGGTTCAGTTTCCAGTACCCACATGCCACATGGCACCTAAGGACTGTAACTCCAGTTCCAAGGTATCAGACGCCCTCTTCTGACTTCTGTGGGCATTGCACAAAACAGGTACACCTACCTACATGCAGCATTATACTTATACACACAATAAAAATAATAAAATATTTTTAAAAATAGAATAGGGGCTGGAGAGATGGCACAGCAGTTAAGAGCATTGACTGCTCTTGCAGAGGACCCAGGTTTGCTTCCCAGCACCTACATGGTGGCTAGCAACTGTCAGTAACTCCAGTTCCAAGGGAATCCATTGCCTTCTTCTGACCTCTGCAGGCACTGCATAGCACAGGTGCACTTACACACATTCCAGCAATACACTCATACACATAAAATAAACATAATAAGTAACTTAAAAAAAAAAAAAAGAACTAGATCCATCCCCCAACCTACCACCCTGCTTTCTTTATCATTGCTTTATAGCCCAAGCTGGAATTGACCCTGTGACCTTCCTGTGTCTATCTCCCATGTGCCATAATTGCAGATGTGCACCACCAGGCCTGGCTAGGAACTAGATATTTTGCCAGGTATGGTGGTGTAGGCCTTTAATCCCAACACTGGGAGGCAGAGGCAGACAGGCAGGCAGATCTCTGAGTTCAAGGCCAACCTGGTCTACATAGTGAGTTCCATGCCAACTGGAGCTACAAGGAGACCCTGTCTCAAAAAGACAGAAAAAAGAAAAAAAACCTAGATGTTTTGATGTCATGTTGCAGGGTATATGAATGGGAATGTTTAAAGGAGGAATAAAACTTAAGAGCTAGTTAAACATCTAAAACAAAATCTTTTTAAAGCCAGGAGTGACAGAACATACCTATAATCCCAGCACTGGAGAGAATGGAGCAGAAGGATCACAAGTTTGAGGCTAGCTTGGCCTTCATATATATAGCATAGCCCCAGCTATGTAGACCAGGCTGGACTTTGAGCTCACAGAGATCTGCCTGCTTCTGCCTCCCAGGTGCTGGGACCAACTACGTGCACCACCATGCCCGGTTTTGCTGATTGTTATTATTATGAAAATAAATATACACAGGGAACAGTGGTAGCTTGGGTAACTTTTGATGTTGAATTGAGGATTTAATCTTTGAATTAAACACTATATATTTTTGTTTGTTTGTTTTATATGTATGAGTGTTTTGTATGTATGTATGCACACCATGTAACTCAGAGACTAGAAGAGGGCATCAGATCCCCTGGAACTGGAATAACAGACCCTTGTGAGCCACCATGTGGGTGCTGAGAACTAAACCTGAGTCCTCTGTAAGAGCAGCAAGAGCTCTTAAGTACTGAGCCATACCTCCAGATCCTCAAATGCTATTAAGGAGCGGGAAAAAGTCTTCAGTAACGTTGGAGAGCATGGTCCATTGCCTGGGCATTTTGCCTATGTCAGAAATAACTCTGGTCTGTAGTAAGCTGCTCGTATACTAGTACAGTCTAGTTGGGTTCCTGATAAAAGGTAGTGGTTTTTCCTCAGACACAGAGGAAATTTTCAGCATATGCAGTTTTAGAATTTGAGTCTGTCAGGCATCTTTCATCTGTAAAAAATTAGATTTTTGACTGGCTATTCTGTTAAGAAAGACAGTTCCAGCCGAATGTGATGGCACAACGCCTTTGGTCCCAGTACTTGGGAGGCAGAGGCAGGCGGATCTTTCTGAGTTGCCTGGTCTCCATAGCGAGTTCCAGGCCAGCTGGGGCTACAGGGAAACCCTGTTTCAAGAAGACCAAAAATAAAA